TGAGCCACGGCGCCTGGCCAAGAAATGTTCTTTTATACGACACAGAAAAACTCTTCTTCCTCTGAAGTTCTTACTGTGGCTTGTACAAAAAAAGATAAATCTGGGCCTAAAATTGATTTACGGACAAAGATTAATCTTGTTATGGAAGATGCTCACAGTTTTAGCCTGGATAATGTAGTGACCCAGAAAATATACCTTTATGAAACTACTGGTTTATCTTCATCTGCAGGATGAAATCCCATTACCCCCTGTTATAAAAGGCCCTTCATGATCTGGCTCCTGCCTCTCTCCCAACACTGATTCCCTCCCTTTGTTTTTTATATTTCAGTTTTATCAAACTACTTGCAGTTCCTTAAGTATCTTACTAGATAGGTGTTCTCCCTATCTGAGAATGTCTTCTCTCTCTTACCCATACCTTTTGGTCCCATTTCCTTACCATTTATCTTTCAAATCACAGCTTAGATATCCTCTTGTTTGTTATTATTACCTGCATGTTACATCCTGAACACAAACACACATGATTACACTTGAGAGTAAGGTTCGTGTCTTACTTTTTTCTGTAACTGGGCTTCTTACCACAAGGCCTTAGCATGTAACAGGCACTCAAAGGTATGTTGAATTAAGTTGAAGCATAGCTTATAAGAATGGAAGGTAAGGGCTATAACAGGCTACTAAAATAGTCCAGGTCTTAGAGAAAAAGTATTCTTTTTTTGTTTTCTTTAATGTTTACCAGTTTATTACAAGGGATATTACCAAGAAACTGTTTTTGTTGCCATCATCTCTGGAAAGCCAACCTTCTTAGGAGAACTTAATACCCTTTCCCTTCCCTAGTTTCTATTTGTGTTAGTGATCGTGCTCTGGGAAGAGGAAATTGCCCACAGTCGAAATGCCTCCCTAGAGAGCCCTTTTATGTACTCTGGAGAAAACAGCGATGCCACGAGGTGCTGCTGGGGAGGGGAAGCAGCAGCACCAGGGAGGAAGGAACCCTAGAGCCCTTCTCCTTGGCCTTGTTAAATATGCTTGTTTGTTGGGATGATGCACTGGCTTTGGAGAGAAGATCAATGGCCTGCGGCAACCCTAGAGGCTTATTTATGTTAAGCTGCTTTTATTCTTTAATCTTATGTATAGTCACAGTATCCTTTAAGTGGTGGGATGGAAAAATTGAAATAGTGTTGCTGGCTGGGGGAGATGGGGCATGCCTGTAGTCCCAGCACTTTGAGAGGCTGAGGCAGGAGGATCACCTGAGGTCAAGAGTTTGAGACCAGCCTGGCCAACATGGTAAAACCCTATCTCTACTAAAAATACAAAAAATTAACCAGTGTGGTGGCAGGTACCTGTAATCGCAGTTACTCAGCAGGCTGAGGCAGGGAGAATCAGTCACTTGAACTTGGGAAGCAGAGGTTGCAGTGAGCTGAGATGGCACCATTGCTCTCCAGCCTGGACAACAGAGCAAGACTCTGTCTTGGAAAAAAAAAAAAAGAGAGAGAGAGATAGGGTTGTCATTGGTGACTGGATTTCTGAGTTCTTGTTCCCTTCCATCCCTCATTGTTTGTATGATTTTATTTTATTTATTTTTGAGACAGTCTCGCTCTGTTGCCAGGCGCCAGGCTGGAGTGCAGTGGCGCGACCTTGGCTCACTGCAACCTCCACCTCCTGGATTCAGGCAATTCTCCTGCCTCAGCCTCCCAAGTAGCTGGGACTACAGGCGCACGCCACCATGCCCAGCTAATTTTTGAATTTTTTTTTTTTTTTAGCAGAGATGGGGTTTCACCATGTTGGCCAGGATGGTCTCAATCTCTTGACCTTGTGATCTGCCTGCCTCGGCCTCCCAAAGTGCTGGGATTACACGTGTGAGCCACCGCGCCTGGCCTCTTTGTATGATTTTTAAAGGTTATTTTTAAAAATTATGACCGGGCGCCATGGCTCACACCTATAATCCCAGAACTTTGGGAGGCTGATGCAGGAGGTCGGAAGTTCAAGACCAGCCTGACCAACAACCCCATCTTTACTAAAAATACAAAAATTATCTGGGTGTGGTGGTGGACACCTGTAATTCCAGTTACTCGGGAGGCTGAGGCAGGAAAATTGCTTGAATCCAGGAGGCGGATGTTGCAGTGAGTCAAGAGCATGCCACTGCACTCCAGCCTGGGCAACAGAGCAAGACTCCGTCTCAAAAAAAAAAAATTATACAACTAACATGAATTCATGTTTATTGAAAAAAAAAGTACAGGGTTAGGCACAATGGCTCATACCTATAATTCCAGCACTTTGGGAGGCCAAGGCAGGTGGATCACATAAGATTAGGAGTTCGAGACCAGCTTGGTCAACGTGGTGAAAACCCATCTCTACTAAAAATTAAAAAATTAGCCAGGCATGGTGGCACACGCCTATAATCCCAGCTACTTGGGAGGGTGAGGCAGGAGAATCGCTTGAACCCAAGAGGCAGGGGTTGCAATGAGCCGAGATTGTGCCACTGCACTTCAGCCTGGGTCACAAGAGCAAGACAAGACTTGTTCTAAAAAAAAAAAAAAAAAAAAGAATGGCCGGCCGGGCATAGTGGCTCACACCTGTAATCGCAGCACTTTGGGAGGCCGAGGTAGGCAGATCACAAGGTTAGGAGTTTGAGCCCAGCCTGGCCAGTATGATGAAACCCGGTTTCTACTATAAATACTAAACTTAGCCGGGCACGGTGGAACGCACCTATAGTCCCAGCTACTCGGGAGGCTGAGGTTGAACCCAGGAGGCAGAGATTGCAGTGAGCCAAGATCATGCCACTGCATTCCAGCCTGGGCAACAGAGCAAAACTCACCCCTCTCAAAAAAATTTTTTTAAAAAGTACAAAAATAGCTAGAAAGAAAACGTAAAGTTCCTCTGCCAATCCCTTGTGTATGCATGTATATTCATATGTACAGCCAGATAAAGTTTTTTTTTGTTTTTTTTTTAAACAGAGTCTTGGTCTGTCTCCGAACTTGGAATGCAGTGGTGTGGCTCACTGCAACGTCTGCCTTCTGGGTTCAAGGGATTCTCCTGCTTCAGCCTCCCAAGTAGCTGGGAGTACAGGCACGCGCCACCACACCACGCTAATTTTTGTATATTTAGTAGAGAAGGATTTTCATCATGTTGTCCAGGCTGTTCTTGAACTCCTGACCTCAGGTGATCTGCCCACCTTGGCCTCCCAAAGTGCTGGAATTACAGGATTCAGGCACTGCGCCCAGCCTTTTTGGAATACTGTGAAATGCTAACAATTTATATTCTGTTCTACTATATACATGATTTTCATATGGGCTCCAATGGTTTGTTTTGTTTTGTTTTTTTGAGACAGGAATCTCACTCTGTTACCCAGGCTGGTGTGCAATGGTGTGATCTCTGCTCACTACAACCTGCCCCTCCCAGGCTAGTGATTCTCATGCCTTAGCCCCCTGCAAGTAGTTGGGACCACAAGTGCGCCACTATACCCAGCTCATTTTTTGTATTTTTTTGTAGAGATGGTGTTTTGCCATGTCACCCAGGCTGGTCTTAAACTCCTGAGCTCAAGTAATCTGCCCACCTCAGCCTCCCAAAGTGCTGGGATTACAGGCATGAGCCACTGCACTTGGTCAGGACTCCACAGTTCATGTTCACATCACATGTTAATTAGGGGGAAAAAGGAAAAAATGAAGACCCAGAGTATAGCATTTATGCTATCTGTACTAATCTGTGTTTCTGCATTTCCTCATTTAATATTAAACCAAAATGGATCTGAGAAAAAATCATAACTACCTTAATATCACCCCTAAAAGAAAAAAATTCCTTAGTATCATTAAATATGATCTCAATGTCATATTTCCCAGATTGTTCAAAATTTTTTTATGGTTGATTCCTTCAAATCAGAACTAGCTTTTCCTTTATCTTATTGATGTGATGCTTTACATTTATTGATTTTTTTGTATGTTAAACTGCCCTTGCAGTCTTGGGATAAGTCTCATTTGGTCTTGGTGTATAATGCTACTGAATTTAATTTGCTAGTATTTTATTGAAGATTTTTACATCTATATTCATAAGGAATATTGGTCTACAGTTTTATTATGTCCTTGGCTTTGGTATCAGGATAATGCTGGCCTCACCAAATCAATCAGGTGTTTCCTTTTTTTCATTTTTTTTTTGGAAGTTTGAGAAGCATTCGTGTTAATTCTGGAGAACTTGCTTTATTTATTTGTTTATTTACTGATACAGAGTCTCGCTCTATTGCCCAGACTGGAGTGCAGTGGTGTGATCTTGGGTCACTGCAGCCTCCACCTCCTGAATTCAAGCAATTCTCATTCTTAGCCTCCCAGGTAGTTGGGATTATAGGTGCGCACCACCATGCCCAGCTAATTTTTGTATTTTTAGTAGAGACTGAGTTTCACCGTGTTGGCCAGGCTGGTCTCGAACTCCTTACCTCAGGTAATCTACCTGTCTGGGCCTCCCAAAGTGCTGGGATTACAGGCTTGAGCCACCACACCTGGCAAGAACTTGTTTTTAGATATAGCTTTCATGCCAACTTTCTGTGTGACCTTAATCAGATACTTTTTCAGGCTCTGTTCCTTTATCTGTAAAAAAGATATGTGATTGAATTAAATGCTCTTGATTACACATCTATCAGTTTGTTTGTTGCCCTACACTAGGGTCTGATTTATGACAGAAAGATGTTTGCTTTCATTATAACAACTTGTTATCAAGGATAAATTTCTCCCTGAAATTAATAAAGGTACAGACTGGAAAGCTGAAGGAGCTTTAAGAGATTATGTAATTTAGTCCTCTGCCTTTACAGCAGCAAATTATTCTCTTTGCCCCATAGGTAGGGTAGTTAAGGTCCAGAAGGTTTACATGATTTACCCAAGGTGAATAACTAGTTAAGTGTCAGAACAAAAAAAGCTAGACCTCAAGTCTGTTTACCACAGAGCCCATAGTACACATTTGGTCTTTTCTGAAATTGGCTTAACTAGATAAATGATCTTTCTTCCGTTTTTCTTCCTCTGTAGGTTCTTTGCCCTGACATCTCTTCGTCTTGTGTTTTTACTTGCATTTGGCTTGATGATCATTGTGTGTATTGATCAGTGGAAGAACAAAATCTGGCCTGAAATAAAAGGTGAGTTTGGTAGCATTTAGAACAATCTGAACTGAAGATGGCCTTTCCTATAATTTGTACCTTTAGTATTAGGGGTTTATGAGGAGGTGTATGAAGCTGGGTTCTGCCTTTCCCATTGTTACTAAGCACAGAAAGTCTGTATCCACTGCCTGAGATATTTTTCCTAAAACAGCCTGAGGAATAAGTAGTTCTCAAATTAAAAATAGTAATTATCATTATTGGACACTGCATCTTTATTGAGCTAGTACCAATTTACTTCTCAGGAATTTATTTTAAATTGCTCATTTGCAAAACACTAGGCTAGGCAATTGTGACTTATACAAAGTACCATGACATGTGATATCTTTTTAAAAAGTTAATACATACATAAACAAATGAAAAATTAAGTGACAGTTATAGACCAGTACCACAGATGTCACAGTGCAGTATGTGATTGGTATATTTGTCGTATATTTTGTCTCTACCTCTAGAGTGGAACAAAGCAAAAGATTTGAACAGGTTGAGAAAAAAAGTCTATTTCTAGAGAGGCTAATGGTTTAATTGGTCTGAGGAACCAGAAGTTGCAAAGCATTTCCAGACATCAGAGAATTGATCATTTGGCCTGGATGAAGTTTCATTAAAGGGAGGGCTAACAAACTGAAAGTATGTTGGGATTAGGTTTTTTGTTTCTTTGTTTCTTTCTTTTCTTTCTTTCTTTTTTTTTGAGACAGAGTCATGCTCTGTCACCCAGGCTGGAGTGCAGTGATGCAGTCATATCTCACTGCAGCCTCAACCTACCAGGCTCAAGCAATTCTCCCACTTTACCCACCTAGCAGCTGGGACTATAGGCAGTTGCCACCATACCTGACTAATTTTCGTATTTTTTGTATAGACGGGGTTTTGCCATGTTGTCCAGGCTGGACTCAAGTCCATTTACCTCAACCTCACAAAGTGCTGGATTGCAGGTGTTAGCCATCGCATCTGACTGATTTTTTTAATTTTTATTTTTTAACAGACTAGGTCTCATTGTGTTGTCCAGGCTTTGGAGTGCAGTGGTGTGATCATACCTTACTGCAACCTCAAACCCCTGGGCTCAGGTGATCCTCCCACCTCAGTCTCCCAGTTAGCTGGGAAAATAGGTGCACACCCCCACACCCAGCTAATGAAAAAAATTTTTTTTTGTTTTGTTTTGAGACAGAGTCTCACTCTGTTGCCCAGGATGGAGTGCAGTGGTGTGATCTTGGCTTGCTGCAACCTCCGCCTCCCAGGTTCAAATGATTCTCCCACCGCAATCTCCTGAGTAGCTAGGACTATAGGCGTGTACCACTAAGCCCGGCTAATTTTTTTTTTCTTTTCTTTTTTTTTTTGAAGATGGGGTTTCACCGTGATGGCCAGGCTGGTCTTGAACTCCTGACCTCAGGTGATCCACCCACCTCGGCCTCCCAAAGTGCTGGGATTACAGTCGTGAGCCACCGTGCCCAGCTTATTATTTTTGATATTTTTAGTAGAAACAGGGTTTTGCCATGTTGGCTAGGCTGGCCTCAAACCCCTGACCTCAAGTGATCTGCCTGCCCTGGCCTCCCAAAGTGCTGGGATTATAGGCATGAGTCACTGTACCCGGCCCATAGTAACAATTAATTTAGTAGCATTTTTGGGACTGCATGGAAGGAGAAAAAGTGGAAGAGGAAGACCCGTTAGGAGACTGTGCCAGTGTCTTTGTGAAAAGTAGAAAGGCCTCAGTGAGTACAAATGATGGATGGCTTGGAGAGCTGTGAAGAAGCAAGATACAGCAAGACATAAACAGTTGGGGCCAGGTACAGTGGATCATGTCTGTGATCTGAGCACTTTGGGAGGCCGAGGCAGGAGGATTGCTTGAGCCCAGGAGTTGAGACCAGCCTGGGCAACATGGCAAAACCCTGTCTCTACAAAAAAAAAAAAAAAATTAGCCAGACATGATGGTGCGTGCCCGTGAACCTCAGCTACTTGGGAGGCTAAAGTGGGAAGATCCCTTGAGCCCTGGAGGTTTAGGCTGCAATGAGCCATGATCGCACCACTATACTCCAGCCTAGACAACAGGTCGAGACCCTGTCTCAAAAAATAATAATTATTATATATGTAGGAAAAAAGCCAAAATGGATGGGGGTTAAAGCTAAGAGAGTGGCAAATGGCATTACAATTAGCAGATAATAGGCAAAGGTAGATAGGAGAGCTGGTTTGAAGGGGTGAGAGTGATGAAAACTGATGTAGGTTTTAGACATGTTAATTTTGAAGTGTTGGCAAAATATTCAAACCAGACTATACACGTTTTAAATACATGCCAGTAATTTTATAGACACTTCAAGGAATTGTGTAGTTTATCTGCCTATCTTATGGTTGGTGAATATCAAAAGACTTACTCATTCAGGTAGATCATGGGTCTCCCTATCTTTTTTTTTTTTTTTTTTTGGTTACAGACATGGTCTCACTATGCTTCCCAGGTTGGACTTGAACTCCTGGGCTTAAGTGATCCTCCTGCCTCAGTCCCTCAAGGAGGTAGACCTATAAGTGAGCATCACTACACTCAGCTCTGGGTCTGTTTTTAAAGAGAACAAGCAGGTGGGGTGTGATGGCTCACACCTGTAATTCCAGCACTTTGGGAGATGGAGGAGTTTGAGACCAGCCTGGCCAACCTGGTGAAACCCCATCTCTACTAAAAATACAGAAATTAGCCAGGTGTGGTGGCGCATGACTGTAGTCCCAGCTACTCAGGAGGCTGAGGCAGGAGAATTTCTTGAACTTGGGAGACGGAAATTGCAGTGAGCCAAGATCACGCCACTGCACTCCAGCCTAGGCTACAGAGCAAGATGCTGTCTTCCAAAAAAAAAAAATTGGCAGATTTCTAAGGTTGAAGTTATTACAGTGTACCTTGTATAGGTAGCCTGGCACAGATTGATGTATATGGGCATCCCAGACACACTCAAGGGGTAGGGTGGACCATTTTTCTTATACACCTTGGCTTTCGGCTGAGGTCATTAAAAAGGGGCTCAAATAATCCATTTGGACCTTCCTTCCTTCCTCTCAAAAATGAGTAGGTGTGATTATTCCCTTGTCTGCAGCTCCCTAACTCTGGCAGTATAACACGGTGTCTCCTTTTTTATTGGCTATTGCTATTTTCTTTTTCCCAACCTATTAAAACTTGAGCTGTCAGACCAACAGCCTAACATTTTCATGTGTAGTTTTCCCTACCAACTAATGCTGGTGTTTGTTTTAATATTGTAGTGCCAAGACCCGACGCATTAGACAATGAGAGGTATGGAACACTAATTAAATCCCTTTTTGTTGCTCTGATTCATTCTCTTGTAATATTCTGGTTACATGTTGTTAACCCCATGTTCTGGACACACACACAGTGTAAGCTGAGAACCTAGTCTGTTCCAAATGATCATTTTAACACATCCTGAAGTTCAGGCAGCAATATATTGAAATGGCCTGTGTCTCTGATCTTTACAAAAGAAGTTTCTGAAAAAGAAGCATTTCAGTGCCCCATAACCTGACATGCCAGGGAATCAGCTGCCTCATTCAGCCCCAGTGAGAAAACTTAAAGGCAGCTAACTTCATTTGTCTCCTGGCTTTTATACCAGGTCATTTAGTGTTTTCTGTGACCTCTGGCTATTTAAAGTTCCTGGTCAGAAAACACATTGGTTCCTGGCATCAGCAAGCCAAAGATTCCTCTTGTGTCTTACAGTTCCTGCTTTCATTCCTCAGTTCATCCACTCCATATGTTTGATCCAAGGAATTTTCTCTGCTTTGGTTTATTTTGGTTTTGCCTTATTTATTTTCTCTCTGAGGGGCACATCCACCATTTCCTCCCCCTTAGCAGCAGTGGTGTCAGTCAGACTGTGCTTACTTTTACCCTTGGATTGCAATCACAGGGAATTGCAGTGGTCTGAGTGCAAGAAGAAAATGTTTCTAAGCACAAAGGGCCTTGGAGCTGGCAGCAGGTTTACACATGTGGATTGGGCTGCTTGCTCATAGGATGGAGTTGTCAGAACAAGTTTGTCCTCCCCAAACCTAAATTCCGGTTTCAACCTGGTGAGCCAAGAAGAAAGTCATGCTTCACCTCCATAGCACCTGGGCCTAGTAACTCCCCAAACCCCATTTAAACCTGGAAGCACTGGCTACCTGCACAGCAAGATGGGGGGACCCTCAACACCCTCCTTTCACAGCTCCCCCTTCTCTCTCCCATAGCTGGGGCTTTGTGCACCCTCGGTTGCTCAGCGTGCCCGAGCTCTGCCACCATGTGGCTGAAGTCTGGGTTAGTGGGACCATTTTCATAAGGAATGTTTTGCTTTTCAAAAAGCAAAACCCAGGCAAGGTAAGACTCTTCCCTTTTTCACTTTCATCTCTGGCCTCTCAGTTCAGTTCATGCTAAACTGAAACAGCTCCTTTACTACTTCTTTTCATTCAGGAAAGTAAAGACTATGATGTTTATAGAGACAGAAGGAAGTTGTAGGAAGGGCCTTCTGACCAGCCATTAGGACTAAGACAAGAGCTTGGCAACTGCTCATTTGATGTGCTTGCCACTTAGATGAGGCCATTTTCTTACCCCAAGATGGGAAAGAAAGCTTTGTTGTGTGCATTCTGTGTCATATTAAATAGTGGTAGTTTGTGTTTTGGGTTTCGTGTGTGTGTTTCTGTTGAGTTAAAAAACCCACCACCAACAACACTTGCTTTCAGAGAGAATTTTTGGCTAAGTCCTATTCAAACCAATTTCTTAGCATGCAAGGTGCAGCCCTATGGGGCTAGCCGTATAAAAGGAGTTTGAATAGAGGAGGGGACATGCTCCTTTTCTTCCCAAACAGAATCACCATTGGATGCAACAGTGGCTATACGTCCATGCTTGACATACAAAGAGTCTTTTGATTATATCTCTGCTCTAACCCTCCACACCCACCCCAGTCCCCTGCAGAAACTTAATACTCTTTCTTGATTCCCCAGTTCTGCTTGCTGAGCTGTGGTATACTGACCTTTCTGGCTGTCTTGGGCCGCTACATCCCTGGGCTTCTGCTGTCCTACTTGATGCGTAAGTATGGCATATACCTACCTCTACAAACTGTATCCTGCTCATAGCTTTCCAACTATGGCTAACTCTAGGTCTGGGAAGAGGACTATTATATTTCATTTCTCCAGGATGTGACCTTTTCATATTTTCATAACCTGTTTAGTGTCAGAAAATATCCTTCTTACCTTTAGCAGTCTCTCCACATACCAAGTTCATTTCTTACCAAGTCAGAAATTGATGAGGGTCCACTAACATATATTGTATTATTACCAACTATCAAGGACTGCCTGTTCCTGTTGAAGGAGAGAATTTTTAGTCAGGGTCCTGTCAGCAGAACATAACTCTACGGGGTTTCTCTACTAGGTTCTATTTATGCCAGAGTACTTTTTTCCCACTTGGAGCATAGTTTTGTAAATAGTTACTTCTTATTGGCATGTACTCAGCTTGCTTGGGGTGGTAAGAACTGAGTAGTTACAGCTGTGGCCTTTGTATGTCAAAATTTCCTGTGATGTGTTGTGTAGTTTTTAAGCATGGTTACCGTTTATGTCTCAGTGACACACATTGCCAGGTTCTGCCCTTGGCCTGTCAGCAGCATACTATGCTGTGCACAGCCCTGCAGTAGGCTCTGTAGGTGGCTACAGAAGTCCCTGCCCTCAGAAACTCTCTCATGTGTAGGGGAGACTGGTGAAGATCACTGGCAGACTTGGGCAGATCTATTCCATACTTTGTGTCCAAGCCCTAAGTACCAATAGCATCAGGATGGTTGGGAATGGTTTTTGCAGCCCCATTTCCATTTTGTCCCTGTTTCCCATTCCTCCTCACAGTTGTCACTGTCATGATGTGGCCCCTTACCGTGTACCACCGACTGTGGGATCGAGCATATGTGTGGCTGAAGCCAGCTCTGCAGCGGCTGGACTTCAGCGTCCATGGCTACATGATGTCCAAGCAGAGAGAGAGACAATGTAAGTGTCATGGTGTCATTCCTTCCACTTAGGCAATTTGGGGACAAGGAGAAGCCCATAGGTCTGACATACTGGGTGGGTCCTCAGAAGTGGAAGTGGTAGGTAGTTGGTGGTGGTGAGGATTGTTTGGTAGGTAAAAGTGATATTTTGTTCTAGGGAAACCTGTGCAGGCTTGCCAGTTTTTATCATTTAGAATCCTAGACTCCTGTTTTAAATAAATCTGATAAAAACTCTTTCAAGTTGAATAAAAGCTAAACAATGAAGATAAAATTCCTAGTATTTGCACCTTTTTTTTTTGAGACAGGGTCTCATTCTGTTGCCTAGGCTGGAGTGCAGTAGCACGATCATGGCTCATTGCAGCCTCGACCTCCCAGGTTCAAGTGATCCTTCTACTTCAGCCTCACCAAACCCATCAGTAGCTGGTACTATAGGCACATGTCACCACATCTGGCTGATTTTTAAATTTTTTTGTAGAGATGGGGTCTCACTATGTAGCCCAGACTGATCTTGAACTCCTGGGCTCAAGTGATCCTCCTGCCTTGGTGTCCCAAAGTGTTGGGATTACAGATATGAGCCACTGTAATCAGCCCATAGCAGATCCTTTCAACTCCTAAGCCTGGGACTTTTCACTACTGAAAACTGCCTCCCAAAGGTGATTAAAAGCTGCTGCCTCAGGTTGTAAGTGTACTAGTCTGAGCTCCATCCAACACATTAATGATGGTAGTACAGACTTTTGCCTCTCTCGTGTGGTCTAGTCAGGTTTTGTGTTTTATGGAGGCCTGGCCTTCAAAGAGCTCTGCACTTGGTCAGCAAGGCCTAAGTCCCTTGGGGCAGCCAATTGAATAATATCAGTCCTCAAGTCTGATGTTATCAAGGTGTGCATCTCCTTTTGTCCCCTCTGATTGTGTCCACTTAACACCTTCACATCAGCTCTGCCTTTAGCCATCCTGAGAGTTGTTGACAAAGTCTGGTATTTGATCATCTGACTAAAATAGAAATGTGTAGGGCCAGGCTGAGTGTGGTGGCTCATGCCTATAATCCCAGCACTTTGGGAGGCTGAGGCGGGCGGATCACCTGAGGTCAGGAATTCAAGACCAGCCTGACCAATATGATGAAACCCCATCTCTACAAAAATACAAAAATTAGCTAGGCACAGTGGCATGTGCCTGTAATCTCAGTTACTTGGGAAGCAGAGACAGAAAATCACTTGAACCCAGGAGGTGAAGGTTGCAGTGACCCGAGATCGTGCCATTGCACTCCAGCCTGAGTAACAAGGACAAAACTCCATCTGGAAAAAAAAAAGAAATGTGTAGGGTGTGGTGGAGAGAAGGATGTTGGAAGCTGAGATATTTTTTCCTGTGTTACCAACTCACCTTGCCATTTAGGCTCAGCAGCTCAGCCTTCTGGTATTATTATGTAGGCTTAGAACCAAATTTAGAGAGGCTCTTTGTTTTTTGTTCTGATTTTATACCTTTAAAGTCCAAAGGGTTTTTTAGGCTGGTGGGAAGGTAACAAGGCTTTGTGCTCTTCCCACACAGTACGCCGCAGAGCTCTACACCCAGAACGAGCCATGGACAACCACAGTGACAGTGAAGAGGAGCTTGCTGCCTTCTGTCCTCAGGTATCTTAAGTGTGGGAGCTACTTCACTGTCCAGTTTTCTTTAGCTCCCTTTTAACCATCTGTCAGCTCACATTTAGGCCATAACCAGTTTTGAAACCCTAGTCTCCCCTTGTTTCCAAGACCAGTAACATGGAGAGGAGTAAACTTTGTTCCTAGATCTCAATTTTTTTTTTTTATCATATCATTCCTCTAGTCAACCTAGATCTCAATTAGAGCCTGATGCCCAGCACATACTCTTCCATGTCCCTTTTTACCCTACCATTATGGAGGAACTTCTGGAGTTGGTATGATCATCTTTTAAACAGCCCAGTTCACCCTTAGGTCTGTGCAGTGTGTGTCTCCTCCTAACCACTTTGAAAAGTTATCTCTCGATCAGTTATTTGCCTAAAAGTAAGTGGGTAATAGACTTCCCCAAGACTGCTTTTTTCCCCTGTGCTTAAGAAGTTATGAATGAATGTTTTCTTTGGGAGAGCAGCCTAAAAGGGGTGAAGATTTTGACTGAAGTTGCCATCTATCCCTGGTTACCTTGACGGCCTTTGGATAACCTTTAATGCTGGCTGATTAGTAAAGCTGTACCTGGGGACTACACCTGGTTCCTGATGGCATTATCTCAGGTTCGTTGGTCTTTTCTTTTCCTAAGCTGGATGATTCTACTGTTGCCAGGGAATTGGCCATCACAGACTCTGAGCACTCAGACGCTGAAGTCTCCTGTACAGACAATGGCACATTCAATCTTTCAAGGGGCCAAACACCTCTAACAGAAGGTTCTGAAGGTGAGGGGAGCCTTTTGACCTCAGTTGATAATGGCTCTGACTGTTGCCTCTTAGCTTCCCTGAACAGAGGGGATACTGGCACCCCCTCCTCTTCTGTTTTCTGTGCTGTGGATCAGGTGGCAGAGCAGCCTGAGGGCTGTGGCAACAGCCAGGATGGTACTGCTGTGTTTCTTGAAGTCTTTAGTTCCTTAGTAGCCTCAGGCTCTATCTTCACAGGGACATAGAGGAAGAGAGGGGGAATTGTTTGGCCAGTAGAGATCACAGCCATCTATAAATGGAGGGGAAAGTTAAACTAGTCTCATGGGTTTATTTCACCCTGAGAAAGCCAGGGTGGGAAAAATCTGGTCATGTGGGGTTGGGGCACAGGAGGGCCAGGTGGATGCCATGACTCAGACACTTATGTGTTCTACCAGAACTAGATGGTCACAGTGATCCAGAGGAATCCTTTGCCAGAGATCTTCCAGACTTCCCTTCCATTAATGTGGATCCTGCTGGCCTGGATGACGAGGATGACACTAGCATTGGCATGCCCAGCATGATGTACCGTTCCCTGCCAGGGGCTGAGGAGCCCCAGGCCCTACCTGCTAGCCGGGACGAAGCTGCACTGCCGGAGCTCCTGCTTGGTGCCCTGCCTGTAGGATCCAACCTCACCAGCAACCTTGCCAGCCTGGTCTCCCAGGGTATGATTCAGCTGGCCTTGTCTGGGGCCTCCCAACCAGGCCCTTCTGGCGCACCTGCCCAGAGAGCAACGAGAGGCTTCCTCCGGTCCCCTAGTTCAGACCTGGACACTGATGCAGAGGGGGATGACTTTGAACTTCTGGACCAGTCGGAGCTGAACCAGCTGGACCCTGCCAGTTCAAGGAGCCACTGAGGCAGAGACTCCCTTTGGGAGTCACTGTGGTTTAAGTTTTTTTTTCTCCCCATCTCATTTAAGGTGATGGGGTAAGGGAAGAACTCAACCTCCCCTCCCCTGAATTATATTTGTATGCTGGGTGGCCTGGCTGATGCTCAGAAGCCTGCTTAGAGAGGATACTCACTCCCCTCCCACCAGCTGGATGCCCATTTCTGAGCTCAGTCTCTGAAGTGAGAGTGTGCTCCCCCAATGGAGGCTTCTCTCCATCAGGATGGTACTTTGGGGAACAAAGTAGTTAGGGATATTGGTTCCCCTTTGAGGAGGTGCTGCTCTTTGCTTTTAGGTATGAGTGCTCAGGGGCCCTCACTGAAGAGCCCATGCCTTCCTCCCTTCATCGCCTTCCTAGAGCCCCCAAAGTCAGGTAGCAGCTGGAGTAGTTACATTGTCATCATCTTACTCTTTTTTTTTTTTAAGACAGTTTCACTCTGTTACCCAGGCTGGAGTGCTTTGGCGTGATCTTGGTTCACTGCAACCTCTGCCTCCCAGGTTCGAGAGGTTCTCCTGCCTCAGCCTACTGAGTAGTAGGATTATAGGTGCCCACCACTATGCCCAGCTAATTTTTTTTTATTTTATTTTTTTTGAGACGGAGTTTCACTCTTGTTACCCAGGCTGGAGTGCAATGGTGCGATCTCGGCTCACCGCAACCTCTGCCTCCTGGGTTCAGGCAATTCTCCTGCCTCAGCCTCCTGAGTAGCTGGGATTACAGGCACGCACCACCGTTCCCAGCTAATTTTTTGTATTTTTAGTAGAAACGGGGTTTCACCATGTTGACCAGGCAGGATGGTCTCGACCTGTTGACCTCGTGATCCACCTGCCTCGGCCTCCCAAAGTGCTGGGATTACAGGCTTGAGCCACTGCGCCTGGCTATTTTTTTTTTTATATTTTTAGTAGAAATGGGGTTTCACTGTGTTGGCCAAGCTCATCTCAAACTCCTGACCTCAAGTGATCTGCCTGCCTTGGCCTCCCAAAGTGCTGAGATTAGTCATATTCTTTTGTTAAACCAGGATTTGATTTTTTCTTTTTGAGACAGTCTTGCTCTGTTGCCCAGGCTGGAGTACGGTGGGGCAATCTTGGCTCACTGCAACCTCCGCCTCCTGGCTCAAGCAATTCTCCTGCCTCAGCCTCCTGAGTAGCTGAGATTACAGGCATGTGCCACCATGTGTGGCTAATTTTTTTGTATTTTTAGTAGAGACGGGATTTCACCATGTTGGCCAGACCTCAAATGATCCACCCGCCTCAGCCTCCCAAAGTGTTGGGTTTACAGGCATGAGCCACTGTGCCCAGTGTGTTGTTTTTTTTTTTTTGAGATGGAGTCTTGCTCTGTTGCCAGGCAGGAGTGCAGTGGCACGATCTTGGCTCACTGCAACCCCTCTGCGTCAGCCTCCTGAATAGCTGGGACTACAGGCGTGTGCCACCACACCTGGCTAACTTTGTATTTTAGTAGAGATGGGGGTTTCACCATGGCCAGGATGGTCTCGATCTCCTGACCTCGTGATCCGCCCACCTCAGCCTCCCAAAGTACTGGGATTACAGGCGTGAGCCACTGTCCCCAGGCTTTTTTTTTTCTTTAAGTAAATGTATCCTTTGGTTTTGCAGAACAGGCCTGCTCCCTCTCCTCTAGCCCATCCTCATTTCTTGAGGCCTGAACCCCAGTGCTCCAAAATATTGCTTGTGAAATTTAAGAAACGTGAGTATGATAAGGGGATGGGCCTCTTCTACATTACCTTGGCCCTGGGGGGGATCAGCTGGCTGGGAAGATTAGTAAGCACCTCTGTATTTTGAGGTCTCAGTCTTCTGGAGCTGTGTGGTTTCTGCCAACCCCTGGGTCCATTTGGCCATCAGCCTAAGCAGTGAGCAAAGCAATACCATACTTATTTTTTGTTCCTTTTCCTTCCCCTGCTCCTCCTTTGGAGAAGCAATAATTCATGGGGAATGATAAAGTAGCACTTTACAAATGGCTCCATGGCATTCATTCCAGGAGCCACAAGCTCCTCTTGCACCATCTGTTCTTACTCCCTGTTCAGCTCCTTTACACTTTTTATTTTCAACTACTTCCCCACTTGGTGGGGACTCTTTTAAGGATGAGCCGATAGTAAGAATGTGGCTGTAATCAGTAGAGACCCCTCTGAGGGGTATCTGTTCTGCAGCCCCTAGTAAAATCATGTGAGACAAAAACCTAAACATGGTAATTGGTTCTAAACCTGTGCCGGTCTATAGCCTCTGCCTCCCCAATCAGAGCTCAAGCCAAACTCTTCTGTCCTCTTTCCTTCTGCATTAACCCTTTGCTGATCCTCAGGGGCCACTCCCCCAACACCCCTGTACTTGGGTGAGGGATGTTGGACAGAGCCTGTTTTCATGTACTGCAGGTGGGGGTGTGCTGACATGTTTGCTCTTGGTTGATGGAGAAGGTACAGAGGCCAGGGAGTGAAAATGGTTAACAGTGAGAAGGGGGAAGAGTTAGGTGTCTCATAGTCAATCATAGTGGGGGTGGTCATGGGTAACGGCATCTCCCCACTTTAGGGTTCTCAGACTTTGGAGGCCTCTCTTCTCAAGTTCAGATGTCTTACAGGTGAGCTCTGTTGTGGAAAGAACAGAGGTGTGGGGAAGGAGGGGGATTTTGGGTGTTTGCATGAGTGTGTGCTTCCGGCCCTGGGAGTTGGCAAGAGGGAGGGAAGGAAGGAGGGAAAAATCTTCGGAAGATGTTTCCTGTACCTGGGAGATCCTGCTCTGAATCTCCATAGTCCTCCACTGTGAACTGAGGAGGGGAGGGGTGTGTTGGGGAATAAATCTTGTATGAGAACAATCTTGAAGATTCTGATGTTGAATGGTGTCCTATCCTTGATAGGTCTTCTCTTGTAAATCTGAGTTCTGGTTAATTTGAAGTGATAGCCTTAACAGAGGAAGCCCAGATATGAGGGACCCACCAGCCCACCCCTATTTTTCCTTTGTGATGGCCAGAATATCACTGTAGTATGAGGCTACTTTCCTTTTTGTGAGAGGCCCACCCTTTGCATAACTGGCACTCTTGGCTATTATTTAGCCTGTATTTCCTTCATTCCTAATTTTTTAAAGCACTGTGGCTTGTACATTCCTAATTCTTAATATTGTCTCCTAAACATGCAGACAAGCACACGTCTTATAGGCTAAGGAGGTCGTAGTTAGCAGAAGCCTTTAAAAGTAGCACCTTGCTCCTCCACTGGATGGTTTGAGCTGCAGGGACAGCTGCTCTTTGGTCTTCAGCTGACCTCAGAAACTAGAAATACTTATTTCAGGCTCTGTCCTATTGGCCACTTTGGTCAGGGGTGGAAAGCACCTGTCAGGTGTTACCTTGAGACTGACTGGGCTAACAAACTTCCACAAGCTCTGTGGTCGAAAAGTAGCCCCGTCCTAAGCCTACCTTGGCTTGGCGTCTGAATTACAGCAGACGTCGAGTGCCCCCTGGGTGCGAAGCTTGGTATTAGGCAAATAAGGGTGGTTGCTCTCCTAGGCGCTATCACCTCAACCCCACTTTTTTTTTGGTTCGAGACAGGGTCTCGTTCTGTCACCCAGGATGGGGTGCAGTGGCACCCTCATGGTGACTCACTGCAGCCTCGATATCTGGTGATCCTCCCGCCTCAGCCTCGAGTAGCTGGGACCACAGGAGCGCGCCACCACGCCTAATTTTTTTGTACTTTATTTGCAGAGATGGGGTTTCATGTTGCCCAGGCTGATCTCGAATTCCCGGGCTCAAGCGATCCGCCCGCTTCGGCCCCTCAAAGTGAAGGGATTACAGGCGTGACATGCCACCGCGCCCGACCAAGGCGCTTAATTAGCTTTCTGTTAAGTTTTCACAACCACTTTCCTACCACTACCTACTGTTCCTGTTTTACAAATGGCAAAACAAACCGACGAAAGGGCACTGGACCATGGGATTAGGGCACGTCCCTGTGGGATAACGTTGAGATGGTCGCTTTCCCAGAGCGGCAGCTGATGCCTGAAGCGTCTTCCAATCCCAACACTCGACCTAACTCAAGGTCACCAGTGCTCAGCTGCAGCAGGAACTGGGTCTCGAAACTTGAAGGCCTTCTCTGCTACAGCCTTCGTTCCCGGGGACAGAAAGGGGATGTTTCTAAGCCGTAGTACGCCGGCGCCTTCCCAGAAGCCCATGGTGTGAGCTCCGGCCTGGATGCGCAAGTTCAGCCCTGAAATGAACTATGGTGTTCGGCAGAGGTCGCCTTGTTCTCCTGAAGGCTTCCTCTTCAGCCAATCACTGCTCGAGGCCCGCCCCCATAGCCGGAAGGAGCCGTCGCCCCGAGCAACTACAACGTCCGGCTTTCTGAGTTGGGTGGCGGGAAAGGCGATGAGTAAAGGCCGGGCAGAAGCTGCGGCGGGAGGTAACGGCGGCGTGGGCGTGGGGAAGACCCGGGAGGTCAGTGGGTGAGGAGGTCGGTTGAGTGGCCCTCTCCCCTGCCCCTCTCCGTAGCCGTCGGGATCCTCCTGAGGTACCTGCAGGAGCAGAACCGGCCCTACAGCGCCCAGGATGTGTTCGGGAACCTCCAGCGGGAACACGGACTGGGCAAGGCGGTGAGGACCCTCTTCCGGGATTCCTTCGCCGTCCGACTCCCTGGAATCAGGCTGGGGTCGTTCCCTCTGGAGCCTTGGGCGCTTTCCCCATCACTGGCTGAATTTCCCCAGACTCGGGCCCAGACTCCTGATTGCCCCGCCCCTCTCCTCTGCCAGGTGGTGGTGAAGACGCTGGAGCAGCTGGCGCAACAAGGCAAGATCAAAGAGAAGATGTACGGCAAGCAGAAGATCTATTTTGCGGATCAGGTGAGGAGAACTTGAGCCGATTATCACCCATAAGAGCCCGACGAGTGAATCTACTTCTAGTGTCAGCTCTTTTGGAGAGAGCCCCCACCCCCACCACCGTGGAAAACGCACCTGTCTTAGGCCACTAAAAGGGCCTCGGATATCCTTAAATCAAGGTGTGTACTCATTAGGATCCAAACTTCACGACGTTTCCAGATTTACGATATGACAGAAGATCCTGAATTGTTACTACCAACATCCATTTCCGCCCTAAAGCTTATTGCTTATCATCTAGATTAGCAACACCCTCTGCCAAATTGCCAAATGAGGTTCCTCCTCCCTCCATTCTCTTCTCTAAACACACACATTAAATTTATATTCGCCAGCCGGACCTCCAGCTGGAATTTGTCAGGCATTAATTAGTATCAGTCAAAATTGCCACAGTAGAATGCCTCATGTTCCCAGCAGCCTAGACTGGCTTCTTTCTAACATTCTTCTCTCCTAATGGAATCACTCTTCACCCAAACCAGAAACTTGGGAGCAGTTTACTTCCTTTACTCACGTCTAGTCATCCATCAAGTCCGGCTGATTTTTCAGTGTGTGTGGTTTTTTGTTTTTTTGAGATGGAGTCTCGCTGTGTTGCCAGGCTGGAATACAGTGGCACAGTCTGGGCTCACTGCAACCTCCGCCTCCCAGTTTCAAGTGATTCTCCTGCCTCAGCTACCAGAGTAGCTGGAATATAGATGAGAGATGATCCTATATTGTTGCTACCAAGATCCATTTCCGCACCCCAAAGCTTTATTCCTTATCTAGATTAGCAACACCCTCTGCCAAATTGCCAAATAATGTTCCTCCACCACTATGCCCAGCTAATTTTTGTATTTTTAGTAGAGACGGAGTTTCACCATGTTGGTCAGTCTGGTCTTGAACACCTGACCAGCCTCGTGATCCACCTGCCTCGGCCTCGCCAGGATTACAGGTGTGACTTTTTTTTTGAAACGGAGTTTCGCTCGTTACCCAGGCTGGAGTGCAATGGCGCGATCTCAGCTCACCGCAACCTCTGCCTCCTGGGTTCAAGCAATTCTCCTGCCTTACCCTCCCGAGTAGCTGGGACTACAGGCACGTGACACCATGCCCAGCTAATTTTTGTATTTTTAGTAGAGACGGGATTTCACCTTGTTGACCAGGATGGTCTCGATCTCTTGACCTCGTGATCCACCTGCCTCGGCCTCCCAAAGTGCTGGGATTATAGGCGAGAGCCACCATACCCAGCCTGGTGTGACTTTTTATAGAGGTGGGTCTTGCTATGTTGCACAGGTTGGTCTTGGAACTCCTGGGCTCAGATGATCCTCCCAAAATGCTGAGATGACAGGTGTGAACCACGGAGCCTGGCTAATTTTTCCATTCTTGAATCCACTCTTCCATCTGTCATGGCTGCTCCAGTTCACACCCTCTTCATCTATTGCAATATCCTCCTAACAGATCTCTCTTCAAACATAGCTTCAACACTGCAGTCAGAATATGTCTAAATAGATCTGGTCATGCACCTTCCCTATGTAAAACTCTTCAACAGCTCTCCAGTGCTGCATAGAACATGTAAAAGGCATGGGAAGGTACTCTAGCCAGCCTCTGGCCTCACCAATCATTTTTCTATCCATCAACACTAGGTAATTCTGATGTGTTTTACTGCTGTCCTTTGGATGTTGTCTTCCCTGTACCTGCTTCTCTGCCCAACCAACTCCAACTTGCCTTTAGGATTTCACTTAGGCATCACCTTCTCCAGAAATCTTCCTTGAATGCTCTGAGTGAATTCTTTTTCAGGCCCTTGCCTCTTTTGAGACATGCTGTATTACAATTATTTTTACTTGTCTCCTTTATTCAACTGAAGTTCCTCTAGGGCAAACACCATTTCTCAATTCATTTTTATCTGAGCAACACCTCCACATTTTCTAACATCCAGTAGATTTAAACACTTGTTAAACTGAACTAAACCACTTTCAAGGCTAACTTTCCTAAAAGGCTTCATTGTGTTACTTATCTAAAGAAAATTATCTAAAGGAGGGTTTGGCAAACATTCTCTGTTGATGGCCAGACAGTATTTTTAGAATTTGTGAGCCATATAATCTTTCATCATGGCTGGCTGTACAACTGCCACTATAGAGCAGAAGCAGCTGTAGACTATGTAAATGAATGGGTGGAGCTGTTTCAATAAAATTTTGTTTTCAAAAACATGCATCTGGCTGGGCGTGGTGGCTCACGCCTGTAATCCCAGCACTTTGGGAGGCCAAGATGGGTGGATCACAAGGTCAGGAGTTCAAGATGAGCCTGGCCAACACGGTGAAACCCAATCTCTTAAACAAAAAATGCATCTGGCAGGATTTGGCTTGCTGGCTGTAGTTAGCTGGCCTCTGCTCTGTAGGTTCACCTTGTCCAGGTGTAGAGTCCAGACTGCACTAGCTGGCATACTTTTTCAACCTGCTTCCCATCACCAACTGATACCCTCCCAACCCCCCCAACCCCATACTGATCCCCAGTGCAGTTCTCTTTTCTAGCAGTGGCCCCTCATGAGAGGAGCTCCTCAGACTTACTGGAATCCCTTATCTAAACGGATCCTAAGGCCTGGCACGGTGGCTGACACACAGAGTGTAATCCCAGCACATTGGGAGGCTGAGGTACACGGATGGCTTGAGCCCAGGAGTTTGAGACCAGCCTGGGCAACATGGTGAAACCCCATCTCTACTAAAAATACAAAATTTAGCTGTGCTTGGTGGTGCGCACCTGTAATCCCAGCTGCTCAGGAGGCTGAGGCATGAGAATCACTTGAAGCTGGAAGGTGGAGGTTGCAGTGAGCAGAGATCGCAGCACTGCACTTTGGCCGGGGTGAGAGTGGGAGAAAGAAAAGAGAGAAAAAGAGGGAAGGGAGAGAGGGAAATGGAAGGAAGGAGGGAAGGAAATTCAGGAAGGAGAAAAGAAAAATCCATCCATCATGCCTCTTCACCTGTCCAGGTTCTGCCTATTGTGGAAACCTATGATCTAGATTTTCCCACCTTGAGAACAATGTTACTTAACTCCTTCAGCCCAGGTAGTGGTTTTATCACTAAATGGGAAGATTTCTGTCCTATTCAGTAGCCTGTCAACCTGGTAGTTGCTTAAGGACAGGCATTCAATTTCAACCTTTCTTTTCTACCTTTGAAGTGGGATTGCTCCTCAACTAAAAATGATTTCTCAAAATCACCCTCCCCCTATTTCCGCAGACCCTCTGGAGAGCCTAGGGTGCGGCTGGTTCTCAAGTGTATCTAAATGCTGCCTTCCCAGGTGTGTTTCCATCTCTGTGGCTTACAACAGTTTGCTTGTATTTTCCCTCCTGTCTGGCAGGACCAGTTTGACATGGTGAGTGATGCAGACCTTCGAGGCCTAGATGCCAAAATCGTGGCCCTCACTGCTAAGGTGCAGAGCCTGCAGCAGAGCTGCCGCTACATGGAGGCTGGTAGGACTGGGTAGCCCCTCAAAAGTGCCCATAGACTCAGGTTCATTCTAGAGGTCAGGAATTACTAAATGAATGGGTCACTGCAGCATCTTGTTGCAGCTAAGACCCTTTGCTGGGCTCCCTTAGGTGTTAAAAGAAATGTAGGCTAACGCTCAAAAACACCTTAGTCCCAGCACTTTGGGAGGCCGAAGAGGGTGGATCACGAGGTTGAGATCGAGACCATCCTGGTCAACATGGTGAAACCCCGTCTCTACTAAAAATACAAAAAATTAGCTGGGCATGGTGGCACGTGCCTGTAATCCCAGCTACTCAGGAGGCTGAGGCAGGAGAATTGCCTGAACCCGGGAGGCGGAGGTTGCGGTGAGCCAAGATTGCGCCATTGCACTCCAGCCTGGGTAACAAGAGCGAAACTCCGTCTCAAAAAAAAAACAAACAAAACAAAAGAGAAATGTAGGATAACTAATAGCTTCTGTGTACCAATGAATGGACAGGATACACATTTGCTGTCCCTGCCATGCTTATCAGTACACTGTCCTCACATTTCCCTTTCTTCCTGCTTCTTTAACTGGCTACACTTAAGTGTTCAGCCTCACACCCATGCTGCTACTAACAGATGGAGGAGGAAAGAAAATGAGAAGACTAAACTGATAATCCTGTAAGGCTTAGTTTCCTGAGCATTTCCATGATGTGAGACTATTCTGGATAGATCCAGAGCAAGGTGGAAGCCTGTATCCCACCTCAGGGAGCACACACTGGGAAAGACAAACTCCTTCCTCAGGGGTAGCAAGTGACCCCAGGGGGGTGTGGTTTCAGAGCTCAAGGAGTTATCTAGTGCCTTGACCACACCGGAGATGCAGAAAGAAATCCAGGCGTTAAAGAAGGAATGTGCTGGCTATAGAGAGAGACTGAAGAACATTAAAGCAGCTACTAATCATGTGACTCCAGAAGAGAAAGAGCAGGTGAGCTGGAAGGCTGCAGAGCCACTGCAGGTCCAGAGTGGGCATGAGGGCTGCTGTGGCTCTGAGGAGTTAGAGGAACCTGCTTTCTCCTTCTAGGTATACAGAGAGAGGCAGAAGTACTGTAAGGAGTGGAGGAAGAGGAAGAGGATGGTAAGTGTGCGGGAGCTCCGAGACAGGCCCTAGAAGTGCTTTTGAAAATGGCAGGTACCACATCAACTGCTATACAATATCATAAACTGTCTGTCTGACAGCCACTGACCAATGCTGCCCATCTTAAAAGGCGTGGTTTTATTTCTCGTCAGGCTACAGAGCTGTCTGATGCAATCCTTGAAGGATACCCCAAGAGCAAGAAGCAGTTCTTTGTAAGTGGTACTCCCTCCCTTCCTTGTTTCCCTGGGGTCTTCTCCTGGTGACAGCTCATTGACTTGTCTCCCTGTCCCACAGGAGGAAGTTGGGATAGAGACAGATGAAGATTGCAACGTCACACTCCCAGACCCCTGAGGGGCCCATGGTGGGGACTGCAGGATGTCGAAGTCTGAGATGTCCTGGACTGGCTGCCTTGTTTCGGTTGGCTTTTGTTGTTGTTCCTGCTGCTTTTCACCTTTGAGCAGAGCAGTCAGGAGACGGGCATAAACCAGAGCAGTGGGTGGAGGATGAGGGCTGATGGCTGGGGGTGGACCCAGCCCATTTCATTGTCTACAATGCAGTACCTTGAGCTTAACACTTACACACGGAACAATGCTGAAAGAAAGCATTTGGCAATATTTATTGTAATTTAATTTGATATAAAAATATTTAATTTCCTCTGCGTAGTCAAACCTGCCAGATACCAAACCTGAGGAAGGCAGAAGTGAACCTGGAGGACTAGGGTAGAGTGACGTTGCTATAAACCAGAATTTGGAGGGCCCAAGGCCTCCCTTCACTCAGGACTCTGGTGGACTTGTGTACCCCAGGAAGCCTTTCACATACCTTCTGTACCCTAAGTCCTGGGAGAAATGCAGGCAACACTGAGACATGGGAGGGGCATAGATATGCTTGACAGAAAGCCTGGGTGGTGGTTTTGAGCCCCAGTTAGTATTTCAAAATTGTAACTATAGCAAAACTGCATTGGTTTTAGAAAAATAAATTTCAAATATTTTTATATGTGTTACACCTGCCTCTGTCATGCAGCACCACAGCCTGTGGGAACCAGAAGGGCCTCCCTTACCACCCAGAGCAGAGGAATAAGGTGACGGAATGTGGAGCCTAGGGAGGGAACCTGGTGGCCCTGCCCTGAGATGGCCAGAAAGCCGTTAGCCTCACCTGGGAGTGACCAGGCAGCCCCAGTGTAGGCACAAGGTGGCCTTTCACCCCCACAGCTGTGGGATATTTTTTCTTATTTTTCTCCCATCCAGCTACTGCCAAAATGCCCAAACTTGAGCCAAATGTTGCCCAAGAGACCAAAACAGAGGCAAAGAGTTTCCAAATCTATGTAGATCATGGGCAGAAATCTGAGGCTTGAAAAAAGGGCTGAGAGTGCAGGAGCTCTTTGGGGTGTCCTGCCCAAGGACTTCCATGGGCAGGAGCGGGGGATGGGGGGAAGGCTGGGTAGGTTTGAGTTTTATCGTCAATATAATAAATTAATCAGAAACTTTCACAAAACAAACACCCCAGCTCCGCTGAAGATAAAACAGGGATGGGAAAACCAAACACAAGTAGAAACCAGCTGACCAGTTTGAGGTGTTGTAGTCCAGTCTCATGGGCCCAGCAGTTCAGTGGCCAAGTAAAGATTCACAGGCCTCTTGGCTGTTCTGCAGGTTTCCAAGAACCGGTCAGTAAAGCTGGTTTTTCAATTGGTGCAGGACGCCAATCACAATCTCCCGCAGGGTCTGGTGAGGGCAGCAGAGGAAGAAAGAGACAATGCTCATGTCAGGGCACAGAGTAGTTTCAAAGATGCCTGCCTAGATCAACCATGTACTTTAGAATAAAGTGTGTTAAAAATAGCCCCCCAGGGGCTGGGCGCAGTGGCTCATGCCTGTAATCCCACCACTTTGGGAGGCCAAGGCAGGTGAATCACCTGAGGTCGGGAGTTCGAGACCAGCCTGACCAACATGAAGAAACGCTGTCTCTACTAAAAATACAGTTAGCTGGGCATGGTGACACGTGACAATTCCAGCTACCTGGGAGGCTGAGGCAGGAGAATCGCTTGAACACAGGAGGCGCAGAGAGCTGAGATCTCACACCAGCCCTGGCAACAGAGTGAGATTGTCTCAAAAAAAAAAAAAAAAAGCAGTAGCAAGCCTCCCCCAGGAACCAGGTGCCGTGGTTTATGCCTGTAATCCCAGCACTTTAGGAGGCCAAGGCTGGCAGATCACCTGAGGTTTAAGACCAGCCTGGCCAAAATGGTAAAACCCCATCTCTGCTAAAAATACCAAAATTAGCTGGGTGTGGTGGTGCATACTTGTAGTCCCAGCTACTCAGGAGGCTGAGGTACAAGAATCGCCTGAAACTGGGAGGCAGAGGTTGCAGTGAGCTGAGATGACACCACTGCATTCCAGCCTGGGTGACAGAGTGACTGTCTAAAACCAAAACAAAACAAAATTCCCCCAAGAAGTACTGATGTCTGCAGTTTACTTTGAGGAGCTCCTGAAATAGGATGGAGAGATGGACATACAGACTGGACACGGTGGCTTATGCCTGTAATCCCAACACTTGACAGGCCAAGGTGGGTGGATCTCCTGAGGTCGTGAGTTGTTGAGACCAGCCTGGCCAGCATGGTGGCCACCCTGTCTACTAAAAATACAAAAATTAGTCGCATGGTGGCAGGCACCTGTAATTCTAGCTACTTGGGAAGCTGAGGCAGCAGAATTGCTTGAACCTGGGAGGTGGAGGTTGCAGTGAGCCCAGATGGCACCATTGCATTCCAGCCTGGGTAACAGCAAGAATCCATTTCAAAAAAAAAAAAAAAAAAAGATGGAAATACAGTAAAATGTTTTCAGTAAAATTTAGGTAGAGGGTATACAAGTGGTCACTGTAAAGTCCTCTCAACATCATAATAAATTTAATGTGTTTTACAATAAAAAAATGTTGGGAAAGGAACAAGAAAGAATCTCAGACACAAGTTTAAAGTCTCAGAAAAAGCAACCAGACTTCAGTTAGAAAACTTGGTGCAATACCATTAGCATATTTCCCCATTTTAAATAAATAATAAAAAGCTCTTGAGCAATGACTTCAGTGGGCCTGGAGGTAGGGTTCCAGAATTTGCATGTTTCCAATTCTGCAGTTGCCTGGGGCTTCCGTACAGGGCAGCCACAACATGGGCTAGACTAAAGCCAAGAGCTGGACTTGACATTGAGCTCACATCACACTTGCCAAATGAAACCGTCACATGAAGATGTAGGTTAGCAAAGAAAAGGGAAAATACAAGAGTTCTGAACATTGTGGAAATACTCTCAAGAAATCTAGGAGCAGCTGCTTTTCTCAACACTGATGGCTTGGGCCACCTTGCCTGACAGTAGAGAAAACCGCAGGCCCATTGCCCCCATACCTGAGGCTTACAGTGCTCCTCAATCCAGCTGAAGACACAGGCCGACAGCTCCTGGAAGCTGGTCACTGAGATGGAGGCATTGAAGGACTGGAACAGGGAGTCCATGATGCCTTGAAACACGTTGAACTTGACCTGGTCAGAGACCTGGTCCTCCCCTTCATGGGGGTTGTCCTGGTGTGCCTTCACAATCTGCTCATAGTTCCTGAAAGCATGCAGGCCAGGGCTGGGGTGCTGCAGTGGCTCTGCCCACCCAAGAATGATGGGGCTATCCTGTGTACTCCCAGGAGTGGCATCCCCAGAGATGAACTGGGTGGGGTTCAGTATCAGGGAGATAACTGCTTCCAGGCCACGAACGGTGACCCTCTCTCCAACCTTCCCTTCATTAATCCAACAGGCATTTCCTGTCTGCCATGCCTAAGGACAGGTGGGAATACACAGTCCTTCTACTGGCTAGCTCAGGAACTGAGGGTAGCATCTGTACTGTGTAACCGATGTGGCCTTTTTGAACAAGGGCAGATGTGCAATGAAGTTGGTTGCCTCAGAAGCTCTGGTTCCCCCCCATTCAGCGTCCCTCTTACACTTTCATGATCTTTAGGGCCGTGACATCCTTGCGTAATGTGGACACCTCCTCCTCCTGCTTTTTCTTCTCCTTGTGCAAAAACTGAATGTAGTCAATGGCTAGGGTGAGGGCAGGAAAAGAGGGTAGACACAAAAGTAATCTCAACCAGGAAGACAAGGCTGACTTTGTTCCCCTTCCGCCAGACCCCAACTATCCCATGGCAACCAGCACACCAGGGCCAGGCCATGGGTGGGTAGGAGGCGCTGGCCTCTTCACAGCCCGTCTTGGCTCCAACCCCTCCAGGGCTTTCCCTTGCCATACTCTTTTGCAGAACGATGGCTTTGCTGAGCTTTTGGGAGCCAATGGAGAAGTCCTGCTGCTGGCAAGTGGGGACGATGGTCTGAAGGTCATCATAGCCTCTCTGTGGAGACAGCAGGGGAAATGGGTTCCTTAACCCTGAGAGAGTAAGGCAAACTGGCACAAAGTTCTTCCATGACACCAAGTTCTATGCTCACAAACTCAACCGGAGTCTCTGTGCCCGGGACTAGATCAGCTGCCCCCAAGGGTGCCTGGGGCTGTCTGAGGGGGTCAGGGCACAGGGAAGCTGAACTGTGCAGGGCCCTCCTACACTAGCTGAGGTGTAGGCCTCCCCTGGTCACCTTGATGGCGTCCCTCCTCTTCTGTTCAGCCTGAGTGTGTGCGCGCCGCCGCCGGTCTTTGTAGGACTCCTTGTAGGCCTCCTGGTGGTAATCACTGTCCTCGTCATCTATGCTCAGAGGTGGGGGCAGGGAGAGGTCATCTTAGGGCCCAATGGGGACCAGCTAGCCCACCTTTCCCCAGCTGGGAAGAACCTAGTGCCAGAGATGGCAAATGGAGAGAAGAACCGAATGTTCTAGATGAGGTGAAAGATGGTGAGATCCTGTGTCTGATCCTTTGGCTCCACCACCCCCGTGTGGATGGCTAGGAAAGGTACTGCAATTATGGCATATCTGAGCCCCCCCAGGTGAGGGGGATATTGCTGCCTACCTGTGTTGGGGACAGAAGAGGCGCTGGTGGAACCAATGCTATTAGCTCTGGACACTACACTCCCCTTGCGGGTGCTTTCTACAAAAAGCCCTGAAAAAGAGAGGCCCAATCACTAAGAGGTGGGGTGGGCAACACTGCCAGAACCTCAGACACCTGTGGGACACAATGGCTTTCTTTTTTTTGAGACGGAGTTTCGCTCTTGTTACCCAGGCTGGAGTGCAACGGCGCGATCTCGGCTCACTGCAACCTCTGCCTCCTGGGTCCAGGCAATTCTCCTGCCTCAGCCTCTTGAGTAGCTGGGATTACAGGCACGTGCCACCATGCTCAGCTAATTTTTTGTATTTTTAGTAGAGACGGGGTTTCACCATGTTGACCAGGATGGTCTCGATCTCTTGACTTCGTGATCCACCTGCCTCGGCCTCCGTGCTTTCTTAAATGCTGACCTCTTCCCTTCAACCCAAAGCCAACCATACTGGGCCCCCCACTTTCTGCCAGACCACGCTGCAATGCTCTGGTCCCTAGTGTCTACACCGCTCCATAGACCTACATGATACCCCTGCCTCACAGACACCTATCTGGACGTGATGAGGCTGTGAGTGATCAGCTACCACTAGTTCCACCACTTCCCTGTTCCACAGCAGAGGGAACTAGATGTCACCCTCGGTTATTTTCTCTCCCTGTCCTTCAGCTCCAGCTGTTTCAAGCCAGGAACTCTGCTCAGGGACAGTGGACTGTGCTCAGGCGTGGCTGACAATGTCACAAGAATCGAGAAAGCTGGGGCCGGAGTTACCCTCTAGAGCTTAAGATGGGGTAGCTACTCACCGGGATCCAGGCTGTTATCGCTGTAGGCATATTCCACCTGCGGCACAGAGCACGGGAGAAGCCCGTCAGACCTCCGCCCCTGGGTGGAGGTGCCCCTCTCCCTGCAGGCACGCAAAGCGCGCCCTCCAACTGGGGAAGGCGCCCCTGTCACCCTGCGCGCGCGCGCGCACACACACACACGGTCCGGGGTGCTTAATGATTCCCCCGAGACTGGCATGGGCTAGGCCGTGCAAGCGCCGCCCCTCTGTATGATCCCTTCCGCCCCGACTTCATCCCAGCCCCCCGTTCTCCCCACTCGCGCGCACACGCCTCGTTTGTCTCCCCACCTTGGCACACGCGGGGTGAGAGTTGACTTCTCTGCAGCCCCGGGGCAGGGAGAGCATAGGGGACTTTGGGGACAGGAGGGAAGCCCCTCGTCTTCCGGCCCCCCCCACGTGCACAAGCCCGACCCACCCTACCCTCGCCGGCGTGCGCGCCCACGGGACTTGCCTTGACCCAGGGGTCCTCCGGAGAGGCGCCCGACTCCGTCATCTTGGACTCACCGGACCGGAAATGAGCCGGCCGGCCGGCCCCCGGCGGCGAGGAAGCGGGAGGTGCGCCCACGTGACCTGCGCTCACCAATCCGCGATCGAGAGGTGGGGCAGGGCAAGAGCACCGCGCATGTGCGGTCCAAATACTTTGCTCCCCGGCTCCAGCAGTCAAAGCCCAGCGCTTGGACTGGAACCGGCCGCCTTCGGGACTCTCCTCGACGTGCCTGCCCTTCCTGGGTTAAGCACTGGACGGGCGGCGACACGAGGCGCGTTCTGTAAGATGGAGTCCCCTCAGTTGGCTTGTCTGCACACCACCGCGTATTGCACCAGATCCAGCTGCGCACTCTCAGGCCCCACGTTACCTGCGGGCGACCTCCCCGCGCCCTGGACCTGCAGTGCTGGCCCATGTGTCAGGAGTCGGGCAGAGAGCCCCCCTCCTTCCCAGCCACGTCGTCCGACCCCACTGGCTGCAAGCTCTGTGAGGGCAGAGGCCCCGCCTGGCGTGTCGAATGCTCATCTTCCAACACTCAGCCCAGTGTCTGGCAGGACCCGTGTGGAATGAACCCCTGCAATGAGCAAGCTAGCTAGGTTATGCGGCCTCTCAGATTAAAAACAAAAAAACGGCAGTACCTGGAAGTCTACAACTTACTCAAAAGCACACACCTGGTCAGTGGGAGGGCCAGGGCTGCCTCTGGCTCACTTCAAAGGTCATCATCCTAACCACTGCACTCCTAAGGCTTCCAGCACAGGCCTGCGCCCTGCACTTGTGGCTTAGGGATCCCAAAGATACTTACAGGCAATGGAGCAGGAAGCAGATACCATACAGGCAACACCTGGGAACATACACTTTATTTCTGTGACAGGTTCCAGTACTTGCCCCAACCCTAGTCAGCTGTGGGTATCACAGACACCCATAGGCAAGAGTGGGGAGGGGCCTGCTTCCCCCACAAATCACATCCTCAGTGTTGGCCAGATACCAGCATGCTGGGTAGGCTTCCTGTGTCCACCAGGCTTGGCCATGTCCCACATAGCGTAGCTTTGACCTCTGGGCCTGAACCAGGGTGAGCATCAAGGCCCCCATTTCTCCTCATGCCCAGTTGCTTGTCAGCTCCAGGGGCCAGTTTGGCCCCACTGAGAACCGCTTTTCAGTTGAGGGCCTGATGAGTCTTGGGAAGGCGCTTCTGCAGAAGGGCCCAGGCTTTCTCCACCTTCAGACAGGCCAGGATGTTGGAAGGAAGAGAGGGTGGGGTCAGGCAGCACCCATTAGAGACTTTTTCCCCATAGCCCAGCCTCGCCCTGGGCACCAACCTGGCGCTGGGTGATATGCGGCTCCCACAAGGTGCTGAGCACCACGTGGCTCTGTTCCACAAGCTGCTGCCCGCTCATCTGGCTCTGCAGCCGGCTCTGAGCCGCGGCATCACTCAGGCCATCCCTCTCCACAATGCGTCTTACAGCCTGGGTACAGATGAGGCATTTGTCAGGAAGAATTCCGGCTCAGCATGATAGAGTCTGCAGTAGGGATGGTGTGGGGGGTGCGGCCGAGATACCTCAGTCTCAGGGATGACAACAGTCCACACCTCATGGACCAGGTTCTGCCAGCCGGCTTCAAGCAGCATAGCAGCATCAATCACGCACACATGCTTCCCTACGGGGAGACCCCAGTCACCGCCAACAGCGCTGATGCTCTCCCAGGCAGAGCGCCCACAAAACACAGTCCCAGGGAGAGCAGATGGTCCCGCCTGGGGTAGGGAAGCTGCCGGGGTGGGGGGAAGAACCAGCTTAACTGTGCCCTTGGCTGTTCCCATCCTCCCTCCCACTCACCCTCAGTCACAGCCCGATCCATCTCCTCTCGGGCCAGCTTTGCGATAATTGGCCACATAATGTCTGTGAGGATCTTCAGCTGCTTCTGGGGAGGGGAACAGAGAGCGTGGGCAGAGGTTACCTTCTCTAGAAGGAGCCAGCCCAAGCAAGGTGGTGTTGGGAATAGGTGAGTGGAATCAGCATTCTGGGCCAGACCACAGAGGTCCACAGGACTCTGACCCCTGGGTTTAGTCTCAGCTTAGGAGCCCTTAGGCAGCTGTCATTTACCTTGTTCCCAAACACCCGGCTGCCTAGGACCTTCCTGTTGATGATGCCATCTTTATGGAGAATATCTGGACAAAGAGCGAGAGGGCTGAACACAGAGGCCTGGCCAGCTCCTCACTCCAGGCCACATCCAGCTTCCCCCAGTTATTACCTGTTCCAAAGGCCTCCACCACGGGCTGGTAGGCAGGGCCACCTGGGGCATAGGCCCGATGACCCAGGTGGTCACTGTCAATGATAAAGGCTCCCAGGCCTTTCAGCCGCTGAGCTATTGAGCTTTTCCCAGAGCCACTGATGCCAGTCAGCCCAATCACATAGAGACTCGGGGGGAGCTCTGGCCTCTCCTGGGGGTAGGTTAAAGTGAACCCACAGTTACTGGGGCCCTCAGCCTCATGCCTGGGGCTGAGCCCCTAAGCTTCTACCCTCCAGCATTTCCAGCACATCCAAGCAGGAGGGATGGAGGGCAGGCGAGAAGGAGAGAGAGGAGCTTACGTATGGAGGCCGAAGCAGGTCTCCCAGCATTCGCTGACGGAAGCTGGAGGAACTGACTTTGTCCTCTTCATTCTCCGTATGTCTTAGGTCCTTCAGCAGCTGGATCTGGTACAAGGCAAGCTCCTCCAGGTCCTGGGGTAAAGAGGAAAGGATGAAAAGAGGGAAGGAGGGAGTGAGAGAAAGACCCTGACACCCAACCTGCCCCCTTATCCTCCCCTTCCTACCCAGGCTCCTCCTCCAACCTGGCGGGCAAGCTGAGAACCAGTTCCTCCCTGCTTCTTCCCACCATCCTGAGCCCCCACTTCTCTCCTCTAGCCCCAACAACCCCCCAAAATGTCCTTCCCCGCCCCCCATCCACTCCTTCTGCCAGTCTCCCTCAGGGGTTACATTCTCCAGGCGGAATCGGTTGACGGCCATCCCCCCACGATATGTCTCCTCGCTGACCACCAGGAACTCCAGGGAGGGGTCAGAGCCAGCGGGCCCATAGGGGTCCAGCAGGGGGATGACATCGAAAGTCAAGGAGGGCTTGACATCCACCAGGAACTCACTCAGATGTTCCACGCGTTCTGTATACGGTTGGAGCAGCTCAGGGAGCAACTTGCCTAGGGAAGGAGCCCAGAACAGTGAGATCTTTTTACTTGGGAGGAAGAGTATGGGCCAGTTTGGGGAAAGTGACCCTAAGTACAGCATCTCCAGAGGAGGGTGGCAGAAAGGGTTCAGCTGGGAAGGCCTATGGTGATGGTGAGGAGCGCATGAAGGAGAAGAAACAGGCAAGCCCAGTAGTCAATCCAAGAGCTGGCATGTGTCCAGAGAAGGAGCAGTGCCAGTGGGCATCAGAGGCAGATGAATTCCAAGCCCCATGCCATGCTTGAGTTCCCTCCTCCTGTCTGTGGCACTGCTACCTGCAGCTCACTCAGTTCATTCCCAGTGTCTCATTAGGGTGCCTCACCTGGAGAACTCGCTAAGTGCAGGTCCCTTTGCTTCATTCACATTTGGGATTCTGATTGAGTGGTGATTGGACCAGATGCTGAGAAAGCCATTCATTTGAGAAAATGTCCTTAGCACCAACTGAGTGTCAAGCACTGTGACAACTGGGAAGAGTGGGAAGTAATGGATGGTCCTACCCTTCTGAGATCTTGGCATAAGGGTGGGGGGGCGGGGAGATTTGGGGATCCTCCACTGCCCTAATCCAGGGTCCCTCTCACTCACTCTTCAACAGATCTTTGTCTGCTACTCCCACCACAAGCTGCTCCTGGGCCAGGACGCACGCGACACTGAGCAACACCTTGTGGGCATTGTGCAGGCGGTCAAACGTGCCACCCACAGCGCCACGGTAGTAGCCACGCACCGGCTGCTTTGGAGACCTGGCCACGGGCGAAGCTGGCCTGATCGTGGAGGGTAAAGGGACATCCAGGGGCTCCACGGGCACTTCTCCTGTCCCATAATCGGGGTATAGCAGCACCGAGGCCAGTCGCGGACAACAGCTGTAACAGCTGGTGGCATAACGCACTAGCTGCTGCTTGACCGGGTTGTACTGGCTTCCATCCAGGGTCTGGAAGTCTGTCAACACGACTTCTGGCGGGTGGGCGAGATTCTGGACTGAGGTGGGCATGGGAGGGAGAAAGGTGCTCTTGGTCCGGATATTGGTCAGTAGGATTCTGACGTCCAGGTGCCTGTGGACGTCGGCGCCGGCATAGAGGTGCGTGATGAAATCGAGAACCTCAAACGTGGCCTGCACGGGGGTGGACTGGGGCTGAGCCGGGCCCTCCAGGCTCATGCCCGGCTGCAGGTGTACATAGAGTGTGTCATTCACCAGCCGGGCCGCCGAGGTCAGGATGGGGGCCAGGCGAGGGGCCAGGGAGGCCAGCGGCGTCGTCAGCACCAGGAGGCCAGATTGGAATACGGCCATTCTGCCCAGGCCTGCGGACAGTCAGGGAGACGAGGCGACAGTGATTGAGGGGCCTGCAGCTGAGGCAGAGGTCTGCAAGGGGCCTTGGACCCTAGAGAAGGGGACCTGGAGCAGGGACGGGGTTTCATGCTGATCGAGAGGAGCCGGGGGAGGGGACGGGGCCTGGCAGACGCTGCCTCTGGGCTGTGCTCTAAGCCTTGGTATCCTCATTTCTCAGACGGGGCGGTGACTTCGCTGAACTGAGTTGAAATCCTGGGATGGGGGAAATGGACTGGAAGCCTTGTCACAGGGCTGGGGATCCAAAAATCCTGGACCCTCTTGCTAAGCTGCACCAGGGTACTCATGGAATCGAAGGGGGGAGTCTAAAGGGGGACGCTCAAGCTCACATCGGCCCCCTACTCACTGAAACCTCCGGGCTTTGGTTCCGCTTGCACCACCGCGGAGGATGCCCTGGCTGCAACCCGGAAGCACTAACTCGAAACCGCAACTCGGAACTACGGAAACTGAGGAAAGTCAAACGTTTCGACTTCGCTTCAACGCAGGAATCTCGCGAGATTTCTCATGGCGTGAGATGCGTCCTGGTGATAGGGTGGGGCTCATCTCAAAGGCTATGGGAATGGGTGAAGCCTTGGTCCCGAGCGGACCCCGGCCGGGACCGGGCGGAGAAGGGCAAGGCGGGCTTCAAAGCCCATTTCACAGATTCCCATCTGGCCTAAAGAGGAGAGATTAGCTTCAGCCAGGTCACCCGAGTGGCATCGACAAAGTCAGAACACCCGGCTTTCCTTCATTCCAGGGACGGAGGTGGGAATTACAGGGTTGCGCTGTATTAGCCCTCCTGGTATCCTCTCAGTCCGAGGATCCTCACGTGGGAGGCTACAGACAGGTCTGTCCACGTTCTCATTTCACAGATGGAAAAACTGAGGCCCTGTCTGTACCGGGGTCTCTTGGCTGCTGTAGGAGACGCGCCACCCAGATCCGCTGATGTGCTTGTTTGCGGGGTCTCTGTGGACAGGAGAAAAAGGCAAGGGCTGGCGGGCGCCGTGGATGACGCCTGTAATCCCAGCACTTTGGAGGCCGAGGCGGTCGGATCATCTGAGTTTTAGAGTTCCAGACCAGCCTGACCAACATAGAGAAACCCTCTCTCTACTGAAAATACAAAATTAGCCAGGCGTGGTGGCACATGCCTGTAATCCCAGCTACTTGGGA